TGCTCTAACCATTACACTGTACTTGCACCATTAAAAATCTACAAGTCAGATGGCAGAAAAACAGAAGATCCATTAAAGAGCATTAATTTTTTTTGAAAGGCAATCTGATTGGACCAAGTATTTTGATCTACCTGTAATAACCAATGGGTTTCAAACATTTACATCAGGACGGAGTAAGAATTAAAAAACTAATTTAACACAATGGGTGAATTAGCTCGCAAATGTATCAAGCTCTCTGAATTGCACTCACCAATAACTGATTCATCTCAAATTCGTTTTATTATTATTATTATTATTATTTTATTTTAGAGCTGCTGGAGAAGAAATTGCCGTTCCTGGACAGCACATCCTTAATCTTTGAGCATCCTTCCGTCATGTTCTTTTTATCTGCTGCTCCCAGTGTCTCAGCAGAGGAAAGTCAATTCCTTGGATATTTTAAAGTCCTCTAAGTAATGAGGAGTGTGTTGGACTCCCATTTCTTTCAGCAAAGCTGCATTCATTCATTGTACATCTAATGTGTCAGCCAAGGTAACTGCATTGATTTCAAAATACCCACCTTGATTCTTGCGCAAGTCACCTGAAATGAAATGGGCCATGCAATTTGAAATGTCAATATATCTTACGTCCTGATTCAGACATGATTGATGCTGCCTTGGCAACATCACTTATCAGGGAGTATCATATACATGGGAAGGATTTGTGCGCAGCCAGTGCATTCCTTTGGGCCACGGATCTTTGAAGTGCAAATAATGCTACATAACATGGGCTGCTTCATGTGAGAAGTGCCTTTTACCCATGGTGTGGGTCAGGGGCATTGCTAAGGGGAGCCTCAGGGGACACCAACATATGCAAATATTATGCAAATTAGTATCATGGGCCTGTGCCCCAAGCCTTTTAAGCACTTCTAGCAATGGCCCTGGTGTGGCTACATAAGATGCCAATACAGATAACTGCTTTTTGTATAACAGCATTTAAGCTGTGTACACACCATATATTTAAAACACAGTTAAAGCACATAGCTCCCACCAATGAACCCTGGGAGCTGTGGTTTGTTAAGGGTGCTGGGAACTGTAGTGGTGTGAGTGGTAAACTACCGTTCCCAGAGTTCTTTGGGGGAAATCCACATGCTTTGACTGTATTTTAAGTGTACCGTGTGCATATAGTCCATGTTTAAACTGGGTCACTGGATGAGGCAATGGAGATCCATGTGAAGCAATTCCAGTGACTCAGACCATAACTGAATCTATGTGGAGAACACCCCTGGAAAAATGTTTGCATGATGACAACACCATCCCCCATGCTCCCCTTCAGCAGGGCAACTGAGCTCTTTCATTCTGTCAGCATAGCTGGGTTGACACAAGTCCATGCCTGAAGAGACCACTGTGGTCTAGAAGGTTCTAGAATCTGCCTTTGCAAAAGAAGCCATCGGTTTGTTCTCTTTCCCATGGTGGGATTGGTTTTGGCAGAGAATGTGCACACATTCCTTCCCTGCTGGCGATTCCTTTATATATCTTGTGTGTTCTCGGAGTTGGGCCTGTTTAACTCTACTCTTGGGCCCAGCTAACTGGCTGAAGAAGTTTCTTCTTCTTCTTTGCTATGGTTTAACTCTTTTGGACAAAACCATCTGTCAGCAGCTGTGAAAGGACCAAGTTTTTCCCAGATGTGACAGGGAGCTGATTCAGAGCCAGCATTTATTAACAGGCAGAGTGTTTGACTTTGACCTGGGATTGGTTTGAGTGGTGAGACCACACTACAGTCCAGACTGGTTTAATATCCATTACCTCTCCCTTGAGTTATGAAATAGCAGGGAGTTGCCAAGCTACAGATCACAGGATTCTTGGGATAGTAGGGAGAGTCAGGACACTTACATTCATGTAGGTTATGAGATAGAGTTATCTCAGTCACATATCAACCAGGAATTCTCAGTTCAGAGCGGACATAAGAATCTGCTAAACTGAGCAACAGGTCCATCTAGCCCTGTATTGTCTAACATCCAGAGTCTCCTCAGAGACTCGGGTAGAGTAGAAGTCATTCTTACCTCCTGCTCCTTGCCAAGGGATTGAATGTTGGCATGATTTGTGCTCTGCCACACAGCTCCCGGCCCTGACTACAAAAATGCAGCCACTCTATCCCCCCCCCCCAGATGAATTTGAAGTTGTGGGAATGTTCAGGGAGGCAGGAGAGGATATATTGTTTAATTATATCCTTCCCAAATTGTGTTAACAAGTTCTACAATTTAGCAGAGTAACATTCCCTGTTTTAAACTTACACAGCGGATAACGTTTTTGCCAGGCTTGTTTAAGCCTCTAAAATAAGTTTCCTGGTAATTCCCCTTTTATTCCCTCCTAATAAGATAGACGTAACACAGTCATGTATAAAATAGTTTACTCACAGTTTCATTCAGTTCACAAAAGGATCCCTGAAGGCAGGCTTAAGTTACAAAATATATACACTTGGAATCTATCCCATAAGGAGATAGTTCCTTTGTCCTTTTTGGCCAAGAGAGCATCTCAGGCTGATGCTTCTTCGATGAAAGCAAAATGGAGAAGAGAGAGATGTGGTGGCCAGTCCTGTGCTTTTGTTACCTGCACAGGTAAAGTCACACTCACCTCTGGTCACATGTAGAGGAAGTTTGTCTCGGCACAGGAGGAAACAGGAAGTTTATCTACTGGCTGGACAAACATCCCTCTTCATGTCTAAACATGTCCACTCTAGGAATGTTGTATTTAACTGCTCTGTGTTTCACACCCCACAGAAGTCAGGACCTCTTATACCCTAAGGACACTTATATCCCCATTTGTTTGTCTGCATACTTATGGCATTTATAACTCACCTTTCCTAAATGGACATGATTCCACTCTTCCATTTTAACTGCACACCAACCCTGTGAAGTAGGTTAGGCTGAAAGATAGTGATTGGCCCAAGGCCATCCACCGGGGATTTGAAACCTGGCTCCTCAGGCCCTAGTTCAATGCTTCAATCATTGTATCGCAGTGACATGTCTAGACCAGAGGCGGGCAAACTTTTTCTGTTATACGATCAACATTCTAGACTAGGCTATGGCGGGAGGATAATCATGTTCTTGATAGCTTCCCCTGTCTTCTTCACCACAAATACGCCTTTTTCTCCTTCCACCACCTTTCTGCATCATATACTGGCATCATATCCCCCACTCAGTCCTTTCAAGATGAAGGTCATAATGCTCGAATGCCAGAAATTTTCTTCTGTCCGCTAACACTGCACTGGACACCAAATAATCTGTGGGTAGCCAAAATCTGTAACATTCCCAATCCCCAATGCTTCTGAATCCCATATCCCACAGTGATAGAACCGCAGGGAGAATTAACGCTGCTGTAATGCTTGGCACCTGCGGGATGACATTTGGAGATGATCCCAGAATACATACATGGGGGGGGGGAGAATGGTATTCTAACTGGTTATACACATACTTTTTCTCAAAAGGGGCCTTTTGGAATAAGAGTTTGCATTCCTACTAGGCTGTGTCTATGACACTGTCCTCAGAAAATATATATGGGAATTAAATAGATGTGGCTGCGTTATACTGGAGTAAAATCACTGATCCATCATTACTAATATTGCCAATGGTTCTCAGGTATCTTTGGAGAGTCACTCCCAGCCAGCCAGAGTAATCAAAACTGGGCTAAATTTACATTTACATATATACACCACACACACACACACACACACACACACACAAATAATTTCTTATTTATACCCTGCCCATCTGGCTGGGTTTCCCCAGCCACTCTGGGTGGTTCCCAATATAATATTAAAAACATGACAAAACATCAAATATTAAAGACTTCCCTAAACAGGGCTGCCTTCAGATGTCTTCTAAAAGTCAGATAGCTGTTTATTTCCTTAATATCTGATGGGAGGGCGTTCCACAGGGCGGGCACCACTACCAAGAAGGCCCTCTGCCTGGTCCCCGTAACCTCACTTCTTGCAGTGAGGGAACTGCCAGAAGGCTCTCAGAGCTGGACCCAACGATGGGGGTGGAGACGCTCCTTCAGGTATACAGGATCAAGGTTGTTTGGGGCTTTAAGGGGCAGCACCAACACTTTGAATTGTGCTTGGAAACATACTGGGAGCCAATGTAGGTCTTTCAGGACCAGTGTTATATGGTCTCTGCGGCCACTCCCAGTCACCAGTCTGGCTGCCACATTGTTGATTAGTTGTAGTGTGTGTGTGTGTGTGTGTGTGTGTGTGTGTGTGTGTGTGCTGTGATCACCACACACATATAACAGTCAGGCACACACCACAGCCTGTTCTGTTGCCTGTGATGCTGCTTTATTCAAGCCTAATTTCAGCAGTTGGAGAAGACTTTGTGGATGCCAAGGAAGACCTCTATGGGACCCTGAGCACCAGGTTGGCAGCTCCTGCCCTAAGCTGCAATAGCCATGCACCAAATAATTCCCCCCTTTTCGCTCCACAAAGTGAAAGGCTTCATATATAGAACAGGACACAGAATTGGGCATTAGAAGAGCAGGGTCACTTCAGGGAAATCCTCAGTTCCAATGTGTACCAGCATTTTGTACAAAAATCCATGTTTTCTTCTTCTCTCTTCCCGAGGCAGAGCCATGAGGGAAGTTCACGCCGATTGAAAGCAAGTTGGAGATGCACAAATATGTATGTATTAACATGCAATAAATCATGCAGAAATGCTAAATTACAACTGTAACCTTCTGATACGCTATGACATGATATCAATCAGCAGGCTTCTGTGTAAATATGTCTCTCTCTTGTGGGGTGCCTGCTAATCTACCCGGACTTCATCATTGGCACCATGCTAATTAATAGGCATGATTCATAATAAATAAATTATTTTCACCAGCTAAAACATGGAACTTTGTTTATTTGCTTATTTGAAAGTAAACATGCTACCCACCAACATCTGCTGAGAATGTGGCAACAAATGGATGACAGCAATGGTAATGAACAGTGTCTGCTTTATTTATGTAACTGCAAACAGTTGTACACCCATTCATAATTCTTCCAATAAGAGGGAAGCCCACACAGAGCAAAGAGAAATGGAATCCAGACACCAGTTTGTGCAAATGAAGGACAGATTTGGTTGCACCATTCAAGCGCTCAGTTGTTGTATTCTGTGACTGAAGCTACTGCAATTAGTGCTGGATTATAGCTACTGTAAAACCAGATTAACAATGTGTATTCATAAATTCATAGTATGAACTAAAATCCTTTAAATGTGAAAAGGGAGGGGGATATTATTATTATTATTATTATTATTATTATTATTATTAAAATTGCTTACATCCCACTTTTACAGTTTGGGCTTCTGAAAGCAGCTTGCAACAAACAAGAAAAACAATTACCACCAAACAAAATAAAAGAAACCTCAATTAATAAACAACATACACACAACAAATAAACAGATAGCAAAGAGGGATATTATTGCATTGTAGTACAACAAAAGCAGGAGAAACACACACACACACACACACACACACACACACTTTCAACAGTAGCATTTGTGGTATGAAATATCCCAGGATTTTTGCAGGAAGCTATGGGGCATGCACCCACAGCAAGAGGAAGCAACATGTCCACTCGGAAACTTTTGAAGGTGAAAAGAGAATTGAAGGCATATAGGAGAGCCATGTCCTGGGAGACCAGGGTTCAAATTCCCCCAAAGGCCATGAAGCTCACTGGGTGCCTCTCAGCCTAACCTACCTCACAGGGTTGTTGTGGGGGTTAAATGAGGAGGGGGAGAACAATGTATGCCACCTTGAGCTCTTTGGAGAAAAAGGTGGGACATGAACATAATAAATAAAAAAATATTGAGCACAAATCATCATGGATACAAACAGAAAGGATATCGGGGACGGGGGGACGGGGGGGGATGACCTTGAGTCTCCAGATCTGAGTCCCCCAAAGCTTGATATGGACTGACGTCCTATAAATATGTAGCAGCACCTCAGATGGGCTTAGCTGGTGTTAGGAGCCCTGCCATCTCCTCATCTCTGGGAGAGGCCACTGAAAATATACAATCCCCAGCTGGGAGTGATTTAGGGAAATGAAAAACAGAGAACAGAGCTGGAGGAGGTGTCAAATGTTTCTCCTCGCCTCCAGTTTGATGTGACCACTTGCCTTCCCTCAACCCCCCCACCTGTCTACCTTTCCTCCTTGGCTGCTGTCTACTTTTGAAAGCTAAAATGCCCAACGTCAATAAAAATTGCAGGAGGGACAGTGTGTACACACACATTTTAATTGGTGTGTTATTATCAGTTGATTGCAGTACATTCAAGGAAAGGAAGAAATGAAATGTCAGCTTTCTTCGGTCTGGTGATCCAGATGTTTTGATCTCCACCCCCCCACCAGCCCCAGTCCGAATGGTCAGGGGTGATGGAAGTTGTAGTCATACAATATCTGGAGGGCACCGAGTTGCAGAAACCTGGCTTAGACTCCACAGTTTTCTCTGAAGCCCACAAATAGCTACAAACTTTTGGTGAATTTCCCCTGCCTTGGCTCTCCTTTTCCAGAAAAGCCTCTTTTCCTTTACTTCAAAAGACAGCTGCATTAAGCAGATGGCAACCAATGTGGAAGAGACCAATCAATGAATAGGGCTGGGGTGGGTTTTGAAAGACATAGAGGTTCAAAGCATAAACAAGACATACTTTGGGCCTGTTCACTCTTAACACTTGGGGGAGAGACCTCAGCTGGGTGCCACTGAAAAGCTATCAGCACACCAAATCAGATAATTTATTCACCTGGTCCTGTATTGCCTATTAGAGTGTCCTACCATGCAGTGGACAGTCCTCTATTTGAAGGGCTGCCCAGCCAAAGTCCATTTTGGAGATGAAGAACCATACTGAGGAAGAGCAGGAGGGCTCTTGAAGTTGCCCGCCAACAGTCAACAGACTGAGAAAGCACACAGGTTACTTCAGTATTCTCTGCCACAGTGTAGTACACTTCTGTTTCAATTACAGGGCCCTTCCAGAGTGGAGTTTTATTGACGGTGCATTCTGTAACATTTTCTGGATACGATAATAGTGTATAATAGTTCATTGATGAGTCCCCAGTGCTACCACAGGATTGCTGTCTGGAGAGGCTAAAGCACAACAAAAGCAGGCCCGAAAGAAACTTGAACATCTGCGGTATAAAAAGGAATGGGGTTTCAGCAGGAAGTTATGGGATATGCACCAATTAGACAGGAAGCAGTGTGACTGCCCCAAAATATTTGCAGACACAAACAGTATTGAAAATTGGATTGCATGTAACTGTCCCCCAAAAGTGTCATGAGTACAGATCCTAATATATGTATGGGGGGAAAAGATGTCTGGAGGGGGCCATAATCATTCTTTTCAAATTTGCATATATTTTATTAACGTAACATTCTGGCTTGGTGTAAGGCCCCAAGTTCCTGTGATTGTGCAAAAAAGCCCTTAGAGCTATAGTACATCCCTGACACACCCCCTGCCCTTTCTGTGACAATGCTAATTTAGGTGGGAGCTGAATCATAAAGTAAGGAACCTCAGGTCATAAGAGCATAAGGAGAGCCCTGCTGGATCGACCAAAGGCCCATCTAATCACAGGGACCAACCAAATGCCGATGGGAAGCCAGCAATCTGGGTCTGAGTGCAACAGTACTCTGCCTCCTTGCAATTCCAGGCATCCGGTACTCCAAGGCTTAAAGCCCCCAACAGCGAAGACAGAGCACAGCCATCGTGGCTAGTAGTCACCATGAATACTCCTCCATGAATACTCCTCCATGAATACTCCTCCCAAGTTCCACTAGACAACATCCTCACAGGTATTCAGAGGTATACAGGTCCTCCGGAAGTTGTTGGACTCCAACTCCCATCAGATGCCTGCAGCAGTCAGGGATGATGGCAGTTGTTGCCTAGCAACATCTAGAAGGGCCTCAGGCTTCCCCATCTCTGGCACGAAGTTCCTAAGGGCAACACAGGCCTACTGTGATGAAATAGCCCACTGCAACTGACACAGGGATGAGTCACGTACATACACAGCATTTCAGGCACCGCATGAAGCCATCTCTCCCTGCACAGGCAAGCCTGCCAGACATGTGGCACTCATCTGTTACGATGGAGCTGAAAGCAACCGAACAATCTTCTCCCTTGTTGCCTCGGCCCACAAGGCTTCCGCAGTGGCATGAGTAGATGCCACTCTGTGTGACATAGAAATATCTGCATATTGTTCGGATGGAGGGTGTTAATCTCTCCTCCTACGTGGTATTCTAAAGCACACAGAGAGAGACCACAAGCCAGGCAGGGAGGATGTTCAGCATCTTTCATTTCGCTGCCCTCCCCCCTTTCCTTCCTTCTTCCTCCTTCTTCCGAAAATGGCCTATGTTTAAAAAGTACTACCCCCGTGGTTTCTGACTATTGCTCAGGGCAATTTTGCTTAGCCTAGCGGAATGTCCTGGAAACTGCTGGCAATAACTTTTAGCCCCCAAGACTGGAACATGTTGAGCAGAGACAGAAAGCCTATGAACAACTAATGGCCGGGAGCCAGAGTAAACAAGTGCGGTTCGTCGGGTTGCGGTCAGAAATGTCTCCCTTTTCAGTATGCAGCGCAAAATCCTCTGCCAACAGTTGCCATAAAGTTATTACACAAAGCTGTTTTTCCTCTCAGTAAGACAAACCCAATGAAAGGCTGCTTCTCGTCCAGCCCCTTGCTGACATTAGGCCTCCAAGATAGTCTGTCATGCCAAGAGAGACCTGTGTGAGCTGCGGTCTCCCTTCCAGGCTGCGTTTTTCATTAGGCTAGTTAGGGCTTCTGTACAGAAGCAAGTGAGAGGGGGTGGAAGGAGGGGAGAGAGCAGAGAAGGAGAGCAGAAGATTACACACACACACACACTTTTCTTTCAGGATAGCATGACAAACCACAGAGCAGCAAATTCTGTCCTCCCTTTCCAAACTCTGTCCTAGCTGGCCTGGGCTTGCGAGGGGAATTGGAGCATAAGCTGCTAGCTTGTACCAAGCCAGACCATTTGGGCCTTCAGCAGTGTGTCTATACTGGGGTAGGGAACTGCAGACCCAGGGGCCAAAAGTGGCCTTCCTCTCCCCTAGCTACCAGAACCCACCAGAGCACCATTTCTGACCTGTTAAAGCTCCTTAGGAAGCTGCTACTTGCCCCAATGTGCTTTTAAGCTCTTTGAAAGAATTTGTGCAAGTCTGATTTGAATTAGTTATAAAACTCTACCTCTTATGTCCACATTTCCTCCCTGATTATAGGTGCCTACCCCCGGAGGCCATCATACCAAGCAATGGTTTTGATAGTGAGGCTTCTTCGTTCTTACTGATGTCAGAGTTGGCTAGCACCTTGGATTTCAGTAGTAGAGACTCACCCATTAGGATGAATGGGGCACTGCCTCAGGAACCTCAGTCCACCCTGAGCCAGCCCCTGCCTGCCTGCTGTCTTACATCCATTAGAGGGAGCGGGTGGAGCTGTGGTCTAAACCACTGAGCCTCTTGGGCTTGCTGATCAGAAGGTTGGTGGTTCGAATCCCCATGACGGGGTAAGCTCCCATTGCTCTGTCCCAGCTCCTGTCAACCTAGCAGTTCAAAAGCACAACAGTGCAAGTAGAGAAATAGGTACCACAGTGGCAGGAAGGTAAACGGCGTTCCCATGTGCTCTGGTTTCCGTCATGGTGTTCCGTTGCGCCTAAAGCAGTTTAATCATGTTGGCCACATGACCCAGAAAGCTGTCTGTGGACAAACACTGGCTCCCTCGGCCTGAAAGTGAGATGAGCACGGCAACCTCACAGTCGCCTTTGACTGGACTTAATGGCCCAGGGGTCCTTTACCTTTTTACTTTACCTTACATCCATTGCAGGAGGTAGCTCTGCTTGTCACCTTCCTCCTTCTTAGTCTCAGTGTTGCCCCTTGTCAAACTCAGCAGGGAGGTTGATGGGGACAAGACTAGAATTAGTTGGCTCTAGCTGGTATTGGTGCTGTCTCTATGTACTGCCGGCCTCCCTGCCTTCCACTGCATCATTTCCAATGGTACCACTGGGTGGTGTTAGCTGGAAAAAGTGAATCCCTCCTCTCTTTCCCCTTTCTTTTTTTACAGTACTAAACTCTCCTCCGGTGCCTCCAGGCCCCCGGCTTCCCTGACAACAGCCAAATGCATTTCCTCCATGCTTCCTCTGCCTCTTAATAAGCATGCATTATTGTGTGCTCTCTGTGCTGCGCCCAGCAGATATAATAATAACACCGTCTGCTGAGCTTTTCACAAGGCACCCTGCAATAACAGCACCTTCTCCTCTCCTCTGAGTTAAAAAGAGAACAGGCTGACATGCATTCCGAATGCACCATACCAGTGTAATGATAGCAATGATTACATGGGAAAGTAAAAGGTTCCATGGCATCCGTGTTATTTCAATCCACTCTGACAAGGAAGCGTTTGAGCGGCGTCATTTGTGTTCCTCTTGTGCCTCCCTTTGAAATGACCAGTTTGGCACAGCAGGTCGGTAGGAGAACCTCTGATGGAAGGACATGAAAAGCAGGTACCAGGTGCAATTATTCTGTGTATGCACATCTCACTCACAGGGCTAATATTATTTTTTACCAGATTAAGAGTGAATGTGAGAAGTATGGATAGTTTTTGGAACCATTCCTAGTGGTGCGGCAATAAAACTGCTAGCACATTTGCAAAGCTGAGCAGGGTCTGGGATGGTTTCATATTGGATGGAAGACCACATGTGTATGGCCCTTGGGGTCTCTTATGATTCTACGGGTGCAAATTCCTCTGTTCTTCTCTTCTTCCTGACCATGCAATGTGTCATCTTGTCACTCTGTATTGGAGCAAACTTATTTAATCTGTTCCTAACAGGTGGCAGGAGCCTCAGGGCCCTTCACGCAATATCAACTCTCCCAATTTAAGTTGGATATTCTGGAATTAAAGAAGCCATCCCAGCTTCTGACTGGATGCTGGAATGTCCCATCTTTTGGTCCGGTGCTCTGGTGGGAATCAGCTGGCTCGTGCAGGGCCCTGGACCCAAAAGTAAGCATCCCAGATATTGGAAAGGATGCAACATACATGTTGATTTTTCATGGAATTCTTGGCAAGCAGCATCACATTGTGCAGAGATGCTGTGCTAGATGCAAAGGATGCTTGCCAACCAGTAACTGAAGGGGCATTTCTGAAATCCAGAGTTTCCAGTTCTGAAGTCATTCAAGAGCAGTTCTCATGCTCATCCTAGATGTGTTTGTAATGGGAACCCAGCTCCACCCTGATGCCTATGGTGGAATAACAATGAGCAAATAGGTCATAAGATTGTGTCTCCCCTGTGGGCTGTTAACCTACAGATACAGTAGTATATAGGTGACGTGCTATAGGTCACACAGGATGACCCACAGAAACCCCACACTATAAGTGATGCCATCACCTCCAACCCTATTTGCAGCTCCTATGGATGCAAGTCAGATGCCCGAAGCATAGCATAAATTGCAAAGAACCCTAAACACATTTGGAATTGGACCATTTTTGACTTACACAAAAAAAGCAAAAGGTCCTCTGTGTGTGTGTTTTAAATAAGCTCATATTCATTGATACAGCAACTAGGTTTTATTTAAATTGGGGTGGGTGGGGAATAGTCACCATCATTTCCTTGATTTTTGCAAAAATGGACAGAATGGCAAGCCATTTCTCCAAAAGCATATCCAGAATGGGCAACACAAATCCTGTTGTTGTTGTTGTTGTTGTTGTTGTTGTTGTTGAACTATCTACTAAAAGACACCCATATTTTTTAAAAGTTAATCTTTTGCGGTATGCCTTCAGTGTTTGATAAAAGTTTGAAATCAGTTCTACAGAAATCTGACACTACTGATCCAAAAAGTAACTGAAGGCAAGGATCTAAGCATACAGTAAAAATAGTGAAACAAGATTGCAATTAGTAAACAATATATCCACTCCTTTTCTTTACTGTTAACCTAACATTCTCTAGGTGTAAAACAGTGGGATCTTTATAAAGCTGATGGATGGTTATATATTTTATTTTCAACACAGCTTTTCATCAAGACTTGATTTTAAGGCATCCCTTCCATCATGTATGCATCAATGTACGAAGCTGACCATGTATTCCTCAGCAATTCCCCAGAGTGGTACTTAGGCTGCAATCCCATGCACACCTGCTTGAGAATAAGCTCCGTTGAACATAAAGGGACATACATCTGAGTAAATGTAGGATTTCCTCTTTAATCCTCAGAGTATTAGGTAACCCCTCTAAATATTATTTTACAGTGTGATTCCTTTAAGTTTGTATACTGATGAAAGACAGAACCTGGAATTCAGGTATGCTACCAATCAAATTATGTTAAACAAACCTTTAAGACACTTTCCACTATATAAATAATTTTTAAAACACACACACACACACACAGATGGTTTTTAAGTACAATATATTTATTGCCAGGGTTTCAAACCTGGGACTGTGTCTGGGGAGCCATCATTCAGTGTAAAAGCCTGACGGTTCCGTATTTTTTGTTTCATCCTTATTCTTCAGTCCAAGTAGCTGAATTAGCCAGAGGTAAGAAACCCTCTCAGTCCCATTTGTAAATAAACAATAAAAATCTAGTCCACACAATGTTACTTATTTAATTATTAAGATGACCAAGGGTTGCAGGACAATGTACATTAAAAAAAATTGTTGTTGTTTAGTCGTTTAGTCGTGTCCGACTCTTCGTGACCCCATGGACCAGAGCACGCCAGGCACTCCTGTCTTCCACTGCCTCCCGCAGTTTGGTCAGACTCATGCTGGTAGCTTCGAGAACACTGTCCAACCATCTCGTCCTCTGTCGTCCCCTTCTCCTTGTGCCCTCCATCTTTCCCAACATCAGGGTCTTTTCCAGGAAGTCTTCTCTTCTCATGAGGTGGCCAAAGTATTGGAGCCTCAGCTTCACAATCTGTCCTTCCAGTGAGCACTCAGGGCTGATTTCCTTAAGATTTCCTTAAAAAATTACAATACAGTAAAACATCTCACAACAAAATAGAGAGGCAAAACAAAACCAGGAGTCACAAGCATTTGCATCTTTGGCAAACATTCCTTCTGCGCTACTGTTTTGTTGTCAGGAACCAGCACAGCAAGAATCAGGAACTGTGTGGAACTGAACTCTGACGCTGCTTATAAGGAGCAATTATGGGCAGCTGTGGATGGGAAAGCTTGCAGGAGTATGATGGCCTCTCTCAGCCCAGCCTCCAGGGTGGATCCACCTATCCAGAGGGCCACCTGGCTTCCCTTGACCTGGAAGGACTATAAAAGCTTCCAGCTCAGGAATGAGCTTTGCTTCAGCAACTGTTAACCTTGAGCTTGCTTGGGTCTGTTATCCCTGGTGCATCTTTCCCTGCCTGCCTCTCTGGTCGTGGTCCCAGGGACTTTGTACCTTCTGTTCTCTACCTACAATGCCAGTTCTGTGAGGCCTCAAGCCAGATGTCCATGGTGGGTCCCCTACCACTCAGGGCCCACTCATTCTTCCCCAGGCTCACCTACTTGTGCTTTGTCCCAGAAAATAGCCACTAGGGATAAAAGAGAAGCAAGCAACCCCTCCGGACTGGTGTGTGTGTGTGTTTGTTTGTTTGTTTGTGTGTGTGCATTCCACAACAAACCATTGATACAATAATAGTGCATTTGTGGTGGATTTATACTGGGCTGTCCGCATATCATTTCCCTTTATTCTGGGATGCTTCCCCAGTGCTACCACATTATTGCCATCTTGATGAGTGCTCATACACTGTAGCACAATAAAAGAGGGACAATAAATAAACCAGAATGCCCCTGGTATAAAAAGTTACAGAAAGAAGGAATGGGACATGCACTGATTGGAAATGAAGCAGTATGCCAGCCCTGAATTTTTGCAGGAGCAAACAGTCTTGAAAGTGGAATTATGTATAACACACCAATACCATCATGAGCACAAATTGACATGAATGCACCATAAAAGGACCTGAGGTCAGCATCAAGCAGTCAGTAATGGCAAACAGTTGGTAAGGGCAAGAGGGGGTGAGCATGAGGAGCAGAATCAGCAACTTGTGGGCAGTTGTGGGTCCCCTGCTAAGGTGTGGGCCTTGGCATATGCCCGGTGAAGCCAACCTCTGACGTTGACCCAGTTTTGTTTTCAGGCTGCCTCCAACTGTCAGGGGCTGGTTTGGATTGGAAGATTGGGGAATGCAATCACAGGGAGATCAGCTCCTAACAGAAGAGGAGGGGAAATATTCGCCCCCCCCACCAGTCAAGCGTTTCCAGAAGCAGAGAGATGGGCAGACACAGAAGCTGCACAGTTAAGAGAGGAGCTACTCAGCTATGAGATAGTAGCTAGGCAACCAGAAGGGAGGGAGCAGCTGGGCGATACATAATTGAGAGGGGTGTGTGTCAGGAAACAAAGGAGACGCAGGGGGAGGAACTTCCTGTTGGTGCGTTTCTTGGCTACAGAAGTGGGGAGGAGTCAGAGTAGGCAACTGATATCCTTGTGGAGAGTTGCCTGTGTGTGTGCTTGTAACATAATGCTGGAATAAAAGGACTATAAATCTGCCAGATGCGCTTTAATCCTTATCGGTGAGCCACCCGAAGGGAGAGGGGAACTCCCGTACTTGACACAAGCCCAGCATCTTGACACACCTAGGCTAGCAAATGCAGATCCACCCTATGACTTCTCCCCAGCCTTGCTTTCTGTGCTATGGTGGGGAACCTCCAGCCCAGTGGCCTAACTAGTCCACCCAGGGCCGGATTTAGGTTTGATGAGGCCCTAAGCTACTGAAGGTAATGGGTCCCTTTATATGTGATATTTTAGGGAGCAGGCTAGCAGGCGGGGCCCAGTACTTACATCACAGGAGCCTACACAACACAAAACACTGTTGCTGTATGTAGGTTTTATTTTATTTGTTTTTTATCTTATATTTTGGAAATGTATATCCAGTTTTTTCCCTTTAATTTTTTTGGGGGCCCCAAGAGAGTGGGGCCCTAAGCTATAGCTTGTTTAGCTTATTCATAAATCCGGCACTGAGTCCACCCCATTTTTCCTTTGAAGAAGAAATACCAAAGATGCAGTCATCTCAGAATGCACTTCTTAACTATCTGCAAAGACTTCCTGGCACCCTGACCCTACCAAGATTATGTGATAGCCTGTCCTATCCTTGCCCAAGGCCCCAGCTGGAGCTTCTTTAGTGGATACAGTGTGTCGGTGGCAGAGCTTTGCACATGGACATTTCGGTCTCTGGTTAGGATGGGAAAGACGTCTACCTAAAACTCTGAGGAGCTGTAGATGGGTGAATGGTTTTGACCTGATACGAGACAGCTTCCTACAGACTTAGATAAAAGTTCAGATATATATAATACACAGGGGGGTGTCCTCTGTAAGCAAGCAATATTGGGGGCGAGAAAATTACC